GCATCCGAAAAGGGGTGTGTTAGGTCGTTTCTGGTACGTAGCACCCCGCAGTTGTGGATAAGAGTGAGGGGGCGGCGGGGACGTCAGCAGTCTGCGAGGCTTTGAAGAAGCCCGCCGCAGGCGCCTAATTTTACCATATTGTACAACGATCTCGCCGCAGGCGCCGATTTTTCACTAAAGAAATGTGGGTGGGTCGCGGAGTGGGTCGCGGGTGGGTCGCGGGTGGGTCGCGGGTGGGTCACCGGTGGGTCGCGGGGGTCGCGGGTGGGTCGCGGGTGGGTCGCGGGCCGGGTCGTAGGGGGGACGACGTCAACAACAACAACAACAACAACAACAACAACAATCAGTTTAAGACTGTTCCCCCCTATCTGCTCACATGCCAATCAATACGTATATCCCAAACCCTCGGTACCCGCCCTCGTCGTCTTCGATCGAGCCCCCTTGGGGGTATATCTTCCTTACCTGCCACGCGCATTCAGTTCAGCACCTAAAAGAAGGGAAGAGAAGACGGGTGGAAGGGGGAGGGAAAAGAATGGAGCACGAGAGAAATTAGCAGGCAGGGGGCAAGGAGCAAAACAAGTGGTAGAACCAGACGGGAGATCGGGTGGGCAGATCCATAGCGGGCAGGTCGAGAAGGCGGGCCCAGTCGACAAGGTCGAGCAGGCGGGTTGCTGAAGCGTGGATCCTGCATGAAACGCGCAGAAGTCTCGAGCGATAGCGCGATTCCCGAGTAAATCGTGAGAAAAGCCAAAGCGAGAGCGTGATTCCTGAGCGCCGAGGGCGCATCGTCTGAATAAACTGCGAGAAAGTCCCACGCGAGAGCGCGATTCGTATACAAATTGTGAAAAAGTCCCGCACGAGAGCGCGATTTGGGAATAAGTTGTGAGGAAGTATCTGGCGGGAGCCGTTGTTGCTGTGAAGCGGGAGCCAACAACACAGTTTGAGCCCCGTGACCTCCCCTGATAAAAAACAAGGTGCGAGTCCCGGGGAAGCACTTAAATTGAAACAACACCATTGTCACTGGAGGGGGGATCAACAGTAATTATTCTTCAATATTGAGAGTTCAAAACAATAAGAACAACAACAACCACAACAACAGCAACGACAACAGCAACAACAACAACAAAACAATAACCACAACAACAACCATTACAACAACAACCACAACCACAACCACAACCACAACCACAACCACCACAACCACAACCACAACCACAACCACGATAGCATCAACCACAACCACAACCACAACCACAACCACCACCACCACAACAACAACAACAACAACAACAACAACAATTCGCCCCGCCGAACCGCACTTCAACAACGCGCCCAGTGACAGTGAATAACCGTTCGGCCCCCTCACTCTGATGCTACGGTATGTTGGAACAAATCCCAGAGGCCTTCGGCCCAACCCGCCGGCCAACCAGAGAGCTGCTTGTAAAGACCTCATCGTGCACAACAAATCTTCCTAAGACGGCCAACATGGCCCAAGATGGCCGCCGAGATGCCGCCAAGACGGCCAAGATGGCCCAAGATGGCCTCCAAGACGGGCGGGCAAAAAACCCGACAAGGGATTGTACGAAAAATGAGCGCACCGTGGTAATCCTGAAGCCCCAACAGTTTAGATCGCAAACCATACCCAAGCTTAACCACACCCATTGATGGGCCTGTTTTCCACCACCACCACCACCACCACCATAAGTTGGAGGGGGAGGGGGTCCTCCTCTTCCTCCTCCTCCTCCTCCTCCTCCTCCTCCTCATCATCATCATCATCATCATCATCATCATCATCATCATCATCATCATCATCATCATCATCATCATCATCATCATCATCATCATCATCATCATCATCATCATCATCATCATCATCATCATCATCATCATCATCATCATCATCAGCATCAGCATCAGCATCAGCATCAGCATCAGCATCAGCATCAGCATCAGCATCAGCATCAGCATCAGCATCAGCATCAGCATCAGCATCTCATTCATCATCATCATCATCATCATCATCATCATCATCATCATCTCATCCTCTCCGTCTCCTACCTCGTCCTCCTCCTCCTCCCTCCTCCTCCTCCTCCTCCTCCTCCTCCTCCTCCTCCTCCTATCCCCCATGCAACTTATGGTGGTGGTGGTGGTGGAAAACAGGCCCGCCACCTATTGCGGTCGCCGGTAAGGGCCCCCACCCCCCTCTGGCCACTCAGACACCTCACTGGCGCTCTCCAGGGCTCTCCACGACCTCCAAGACGGCCCAGGACGGCCACGAAGGCCAACAAGAAGGCACCGTATTGCCTCAAGACGCACTCACCAGCCCAGAAGAAAGCTTCCAGCATGGCAAAAAGAAGCAGTAAACCCTTCGGGCAGGCCAACATCATTCCAACCTCAGGAAAGTCTCAGGTTGTTTAACATGTTGGGTACCCAAGGCCGTCCGGCTCAAGATGGCTCCGAGAGGAGAACCCAAAAGAGCCCATGACCCCTCACATGGCCCAGAGCAGCCCGGAGAGGGCACCATGAAAGCCCAAGAGGGCCTCAATACAGCCCAAGCGAGCCCCAGAACGGTCCATGAGAGCCCCAAGAGGGCCCAAGACAGTCCTATGTGATTCAGCTCCTGTGTAAAATTGTTAATGACAATGGACGAGATAGGGGGAAACCGATTGATACGCATTCATCCAAACTGCACACAGCGCATCCTGTCCGCAAGCAGACAGCACACAAGCATATGAGGTGGACATACCTATGAGCAATTATGGAAATGGCAGAATCTGATCCTGCCTAACAGACTTTGCCCGCTGGTAGGTTCCCCAAAAACTTGTGACGTCTTATGCGTGCAGGCCTAATCCAAACCCGAACCAATATGCACGCATGCACATCCGTCACGGTGCCTTAGGCACTGAGTGGAGTGTCCTCAGGTTCCTTTGAGTCGTCTGAGTTGAATTCAGACTTATCTTTAAAAGGCCCCAGAACCCCAACTGACGGAATTATTGGGGTGCTCCGCGTCACTCCTGGGGCGTTCCGCGGCGTTCCGCGTGACTCTCGGGGCGTCCCACCTGACTTTACCCGGAGCCAAACATCACTGCAAACCCGAAAGTTTGAACGGTTTTGGCGCCAAAGGGTGAAACCCGAACTGGCCCCGCGAGCCCTCTTATGCCCTCAAGAGGCCTCCAAGAGGCCCCAGAGGCACCCCGAGAGACCCCAAGAGGCATTCAAGAGGACTCTGAGCCACATCCCAAGGCACGGTGGCGTGATGGACCGAAGGCCACTGGACAGAAACTAGACCTTCGAGCACGCGCATTGCGCGCTCAAGTTCTGGCATGCCCAGCCTTGACAAGCTCACGATTGCACGCATACGCATACGTACCCAAAAATGGTGTGCACGTGGGCTGAATAAAAAGCAAACCGTAGACCGAGCAGAAACGCATCATCGACAAGGATACACCCAGGCACATTCGACACGAAGTACTGCAAATGCTTGCATGCAGCATGAAGAACGTGACGCACTGCAGTGGCAGCGCAAGCTGAAGCATTGCAATCGGAAGTGGACGCAGTGGCCATGCAACCCAATGAGAAGCAGCTCAAAGCATTGAAAGGAGAAGACCAGCAAAGACAAGGCAATGGGATGCGCCACAAATTCAAGCAAAGTGGCAAAGTAAAGCAGAGTAAACCAGCGCAATGCGAAACCCCAAACAAGAGATGCAATACCACGCAAAGCAATGCAAAGAACCCAACAAAGCCGAAGAACCCATGGAACTCAGAGAACGCAACGACGGGGAACACGTGGAGAGAACCCAGGCGGTCCAGATTTGTGTGGGGGGGGGGGGCAACTGTCTTGAGGTTTCCTGCGCCAAACGAAAGTGGAGTCTGGCCCGCCATCCAGGGGCCTGCAGATCTCCAGGCACGCCTCGACCGCCGCAGGGCGAGGGGCGGCCCAGGTTCTGGCCCCCCGGACGCCGTCCCCGCCTGCTCATGCACAGATCCGCATGGTTGTACAGATCTCCTCCTCCTCCTCCTCCTCCTCCTCCTCCTCCGCCTCCTCCTCCTCCTCCTCCTCCTCCTCCTGCACAGACGAGAGCGCGGAGGCATGTACACATGCATGCGCAGGGGCACTACCGACTACCATCCCTCGCGCTTCGTGCGCTCTCGAGCCCTGGTCGATGTTTTGTGCTGGTGGCCTGAGGGATTCCCTGCGCGACAGCCACCCCATGTCCTTGAGCGTCCAAGGGAGGAATTGAGGCGGCCCGCGGGCGACTGGGGCATCCGAGGGCCGCTCGGGACGCCTTCGGGGCTGGGACGGAACAAGTAAGAAAAAACGAGGACGGTGCGAGCTCATGCCGCCAGGTTATGGCCAGTGCCGTCTGAGCAATGCCTGGACGAGGAAAGGCGAGAGGACGACGAGGAGAACGAGAAGGAGGAGGACGAAGGAGAGCAGAAAGAGGAGCAAGAGCGGGAGGAGGACTGGACAGGCAGGCGCAACGGAGGCAAGGTACCCGGAGTCTCGTGAGACCTCCTGAGGTCTCTGGAGGCCTCTGGACGAGGCTCCCCAGAAGACGACAAACTTCCAGAAGCTCAAAACTCGGGATCCTCCTCACTTCGGGTGTTCCCAGAGGTGCCCCCCAGGATGCCGAAGGAGGCCCAGATGGCTTCCAGAGCATCCCCCGCGAGGCCCAGAGGGCCCCATGGAATCCAAAACGGAGCAAAAAGCAGGGGGCGCCTTGGGCCAAAGACACCCTTAGCGACCTCCGATCCCTGCCCCTTCTCCCGCCCCCCCTCGGATCTGACGACCCGGGCCAATACAAACCCAGGTCAGTCAGTATCTGCAGGGTCCTGCAAGATCCTGCAGGATCCTGCGCCAGAACCTGGGCCAATGCAACCCCAGCTTTGCAGGATCCTGCAAGATCGGGCGTCCTGGCTAGCCCCCGTTTGCATGGACCCCGTCTCAACGCTCCCGACCCCCGTCTGCCAAGGCGGGGCCGTGGGGTGCGCGCGCGCGCCCCGCTGAGCATGGAGGTCCTGCCGTCCGCGGGGACGGCGGCGGCCTGGCCGTGGGCGGGGCCTCCATCCCCGGCCGGCCTCTCCCGCCCGGGCGGCCCCCGCAGCCGCGGGAGACGTGCGCGGGGAAGGGCGCCTGGCCTGCGCGCTGGCACCGCTCCGTGCCGGGCCGGCTCGGGGAGCCTCCCAGAGGCCCCAAACCTCGAGCATCGATCTTCGAATCCTGGATCCCTGATCCCCGAGGCTGGATCCTCCAACCTCGAGAAGCCTCGACCCTGGATCCTCGAACCTCGGGGCCCGGCGCCCGCACCACAGAGGTCCACATCAAGTGGGGTGGGGCCGCTCCGATCGGTGCACACTGACTACCTACCAGACCACCCCAACCCAACCCGAAGACCCGAATTTCGGGTTGGGGGGGGGTACGGGCTCCACATGTGTTTTCTCAATGTTCCCCCCCCACACCCCCCCACACTGGAAATGGAGGGCACATTGAGGCCTTCGGGTTGGGTTGGGTTGGGTTGGGGTTTGGTGTGTGGTGACACACAGCCATCGTGGCACCGCAGGGCACGCCACCGGTAAGGAACGAGCGGGCCCGCCTGGCCACGGCGGAAGCCTCGGCCACGGAGGTCGGCGGCGCGCACCAGGGGGCAGGGGGGAAGGGGGGGAGGCTCCTTAGAAGCAGGGTGCTCCCCAGAAGCCTTCCCCCCCCCCTCTCCCTAACTATAATACAGTGGGGGCGCGCATCAAGAAACCATGTGCTTTTCGTCAGGGTATCCTGGTTTTTTCGCTCCGCGCGCGGCGCGGTGACTTCCCGCGGCCGTCAAAGAAGCTGCTGCGTTCAGGGTGCTCCGGGTGTCCCCTCACGTGCACCTCGCTCGCGGGTTATCAGCGTTGGGCTTCTTGCGAGGGTTTCTTGCGACCGGTCCGCACTGTAGGGGCCCGACCACAAAAGACCTTCCACAAGAAACCCAACCCTGAGACCCCCATGACCTCCATTGATTCGTGGCGCGGAAACGTCACGCTTCCCATCGCAAAACCGTCGAAACCCAAGAAACCCAGGGCACCCTGGAGGCAGGCAGGGTGCTTCCTGGCATGGGTATCCGCTGTATACGCCCCTCTGCGCGTGGCTGGGACGGGGTTCCCCGGCCGAGCTCGAAGGAACGGCCAGAGGACCAGAGCCCAGCTCCCGGGCCCCAGCCGACCCTCCGCCCCGCGTACTGCCTGCACGCCTTCCGGATCGGCTCGGCCTGGCGAGGCGTCTGTCTGCGCACCGACAGACCTGATGGGCCCGTTTCCCACCACCAACACCACCACCACAAGTTGGAGGTGCAGGGGGTCCTCCTGCTCCTCCTCATCCTCCTACTCCTCCACCACCTCTTCATCGTCATCCTCCTCCTCCTCCTCCTCCTCCTCCTCCTCCTCCTCCTCTCTCCTCCTCCCTCCTCTTTGTCCTCCTCCTCCTCCTCCTCCTCCTCCTCCTCCTCCTCCTCCTCCTCCTCCTCCTCGTCCTCCACCTCCTTCCCCGCTCCAACTTATGGTGGTGGTGGTGGACAATAGGCCCATCAAGACCCCCCCGCGGGTAGTCTCCCAGCTCGTCTCGACTGGAGAAGTCAACGGGTACCAATACCCGTCGGTCAGAAGAAGTGGTAGGACCACGAAGCAGGACCCCTGAAGAGGACGGAAAGGGGACAGACGACCGGTCCTTGAAGTGGGAAGGCGCCTACAGTAGATTGGGAGCTGGGAATCCAGAAATACCTGCTCCCGACGGCCGGCGCGCACTGCCAACCCATGAAATTCGGACGCACGATAAGGATGCAAAGGCCTTGGATGGCCATGTCGACACTTTGCGAGCGGGGCGCGGCCGGCGAAAGCGGCCGTGGACTGGCCGAAGGGGAAGGATGCAAGAGTAACCTTGGAAATAAAATGCTCACCCTGACTATGCGGGTTGACTGTACGGTAGGCTCGTGCGGCGTCGGCGCGCGCAGAGGTTTTTGACACCGCGTCGTGCGCTCAACCTTGAATCGATCGCGGCCCCGCTCATTCAAGGTCAAAGTCAGGCGGGTCCAATGGCGTTACTGTGTCCGTCGGTGCTTCCACGTCGCAGACTGCAACCTCGAATACTCCAGATTTCGTAATAAAGGGAGGGGGGTCTCATTTTGGGGGGGGGGTCTCTTCCAGGCTATCTTGGAGGGCCTGGGGGGGTCTGGGGACGATGTTTTGGAGGGTTCTCCCACGGGGGGGGGGGTCTGAAGTGGCTTGTCTTGGAGGGTCCAGACCCCCTCCCTTTTATTACGAAATTTGGAGTACCTTCGCCAGCGTCGCCGGCGCGCCAACGCCGCATGAGCCTACCGCGCTCGAGGGGCCCGTCGAGGCCAGCCAGGACTGCCCAGGGGGCTATCTGCGCGCAACCCGAAGCCTTACCCGGACATGAAATGTCTGGATGTCTGTTTGCATACGGGGGCCCCGAAGTCCCGACCCGTGCCCCAGGGCCCAGCTTGTCAGCCCGAGCAGCTTCTCGACGGTCCTGGGGCTCGGCGAGGGCCCCCAAAGGCCGCAAACTGCTGAACACCTCCCGGCCCGAGTGCTCAGGACGCGAGCACGTCTGGGTACCAGGCCGAGCCAAGAGAAGAGGGCTGTGAGCGCCGATCCCAGGCCCATGGGAGTGGCCGACCGTGCACGGCGGGCGCGCCCCCGGAGTGCGGAGGCGCGAGTCGCCCACGACCGCGCGGGCGACGGCCGAGTCCCTGCCGCCTGGAGGGCACGATTCCTGGACGTTTGGCTCGGAAGTTGCCCAAAGGGGGGGGAAGGGGGCAATAAACGGGGGGCGCGAAGAGACGTGCACCCTTCGTGCCACGTTTCGGCCCCAGGGGACCTCTTTCGGGCCCCCTCAGGGCACAAAATGCGCACCCCTCTTCTCCCCATCTGTCGCCCACCCCACCCCCCCTTTACGCAACGCCCGAGGGAGGGCTCTGGGGTCGGGTCTGGGAGGGGAGAGGAGAGATGAGGCAGGCTGCAGGAGGAAAGGACAGGCGGAGGAGGAGCAGAAGGAGGAGGAGGAGGAGGAGGAGATAGGAGATACGAGGAGGAGGAGGAGGAGGAGGAGGAGGCAGGCTGCAGGAGGAGAGGACAGGCAGGAGGAGCAGAAGGAGGAGGAGGAGGAGGAGGAGGAGGAGGAGATAGGAGATACGAGACGAGAAGGGGAAGCGCGGAGGCAGGGAGAACGAGAGGGAATATGGGAGGGCGCCCCGTGCTCGGTCGCGGCCCTCGGGAGCGCAACCCAGAGCACCGCTGATACCCCTGTGGTGCCACGAAGCTCCAGGTGGGCCTGGCCGGAGAGCTCCAGGGAGCGAAATCCTGGTCGTCGCCCTCCAACTCCTCGTCCTCCTCCTCCTCCTCCTCCTCCTCCTCCTCTCCTCCTCCTCCTCCTCCTCCTCTCCTCCTCCTCCTCCTCCTCCTCCTCCTCCTCCTCTTCCTCCTCCTCAAATGATCTTCATAACCGCAGTGATAAGAAACAACGTCATCCTCTTGAACCTCCTCAACATCAGTACCAGCTCACTCATTATCAGCATCATAAGCATGAGCATCACCATCATCAAAATCCGAATACTCTGCATCAACATCATCATCAGCACTGTCAGGGTCATCATAAACAATTGGATATTCATCAGAATCGTCATCATCAGCATCATCATCATCATCAGCAGCATCATCGTCACCATCATCCTCAGCAGCAGCAGCAGCATCAGCATCAACATCATCATCCTCATCATCATCATCATCATCATCATCAGCAGCACCGTCAGGGTGATCATAAACACTTGGATATTCATCAGAATCGCCATCATCAGCATCATCATCAGCAGCATCATCAGCATCATCATCAGCAGCTTCTTCATCGCATCGTAATCGTCATCGTCGTCCTTACAAGTCGTCATCAACATCATCATCGTCATCATCAGCATCATCATCATCGTCATAGCCTAGTCATCGTCAACATCATTATCAGTATCATCGTCAGTGTCGTCATCATCATCGCCGTCGATAAACCATGATCCTCATGATCATAAACATCATTCATTAGCACCACCACCATCATAATCACCATGACCATCGTCATCGTCATCGTCATCGCCTCTGCCATCATCATCATCGCCATCACCAATCATCATCAGCAGCAGCTTCATCCTCAGCAGCATCGGCTTCGTCATCAACACCGTCATCATCATCGCCCTACTCCTCATCCTCCTCCTCCTCCTCCTCCTCCTCCTCCTCCTCATCATCATCATCATCATCATCATCATCATCATCATCATCATCATCATCATCATCATCATCGTCAGCATCATCAACAACATCATCATCATCATCATCATCATCAGCATCGTCATCGTCATCGTCATCACCGTCATTATCATCACCACCGCCAACACCACCAACATGAACATCACCACCAATCACCATCAGCATCAGCATTATCATCTGCATCATCATCCTCATCCTCATCGTCATCATCCGCATCATCAACACCATCATGGTCATCATCAACATCATCCTCATCATCAGCATAATCGTTACCACCATCATCACCATCGTCACCATCAGTATCATCATTATCATCATGCTAACAAGCAGCCTCATCATCAGAAGCAGCATCACCATCTTCGTAATGAACATCATAATCGTCATCATGTTCCGCCTCGTTGTCATCACCACCGCCGCCACCACCAGCACCATCATCATCAGCATCAGCATCAGCATTAGCATCATCATCAGTACCATCGTAAGTACAATCAGCGTCATCAGCATCAACATCAGCATCAGCAGCATCCTCATCAGTATCACCATCATCATCACCATCATCATAATAATCATCATTCTCAGCATCATCATCATCATCATCATCATCATCATCATCATCATCATCATCATCATCGTCGTCATCATCATCATCATCGTCATCATCATCATCAGCATCATCAGCATCATCAGCATCGTCATCATGAATATCGTCAACCTCACCATCATCAGCAGCAGCCCCCAGTTTACGTGCGCGTGTGAAATCGGGGATCTCCTGACCTGGGTCAATCCCGACCCGGGTCAGTCAGACCTTGCAGAATCCTGCAAGATCCTGCAACATCCTGCACTCAAACCCGGGTCCATGCGAAGGATCCTGCGAGATCCTGCAGGATCCTGCACCCAAACCCGGGTGTCAGTGCGACCCTGGCCCTACGGGATCCTGCAAGATCGTGCGCTCTGGCTGACCCCCGTTTGCATGGACCCCCGTCTCAAGGCTCCCGATGAAATCGCATGTCGCAGCCCAAGTGCGTACGCGCGCGGAGCGACGACCCGCCAGAGCGCGCGCGCGCGCGCCCGCGCAGAACGGCCGACGGGCCCGCGCCGCGGGTTCGCGCCCCGCGAGCGCGGCGCGAAGCGCAAGCGGAAGCCGAGCGCGCGCCAATTTCCGCGCGCCTTGCGGTGGCCCCGTGCGTGCGGAGCCCCAGCCCCCGACGGCAGCCACGCATTTGCCAGCAACGCCCAGCAGGGAACCGCGGCATCTCGCACCGAGGCTGCGGCCCCCCGCCCAGGCGCGGGGGGGGCGGGCCTCCCCATCTTCCAAGTCCCAGTCCCAGTCCCATTCCCAGTCCTCCTCCTCCTCCTCCTCCTCCTCCTCCTCCTCCTCCTCCTCCTCCTCCTCCTCCTCCTCCTCCTCCTCCTGTCCGACCTCTGCCCAGCGCCCGTAGCCGCCTCTCCTCCGGCGAGCACTGTGCTACAGTGGGTCTCGAGTCGTGCTCTGACGCGTCTCGCTCGGCACTGCCCTGCCCGCTGCGGCTCGCCTCTGCGGTGCCCGCCTGGCCAAGACAAGCGTGGCAGGTGCTGTCACCCACAGACTCGCGAAGAGCTGATAAGCGGGCATACCCTACCGCTACCCTACTCTCGTCGCCACGGCTGGGTCTGCCCCGAGGTTCTGGTCAGAACGCACCGCTCGAGAGTTCCCGGGAATATCGGTATCGGTGTCACTGGGCCCCTCCAATGGAAGGGACGGGGAAGGGAAGGCAGGGGCTCAAGCGAAGGGAAAGAGAACGGAAGACGACACCTTCAGCGCCGTTCCACCAAGATTCCTGATCATCCACCTCTTCCTCATCCTCCACACTGCCACCACCACCACCACAATCATGATCATAATAATAATCATCATCAGCAGCAGCATCATCAGCAGCAGCAACAACGTCGTTATCATCATCGTCATCATCATCATCATCATCATCATCATCATCATCAGCATCAGCATCAGTATCAGCATCAGCATCATCATCATCATCATCATCATCATCATCACCATCATCATCGTCATCAGCATCATCATCAACATCATCAGCCTCATCATCAACGGACTCGTCCTCGCCAACAGTATCCTCACCCTCGTCCTCATCCTCATCCTCGCCAGTCATCATAATCATCATCATAATCAGAATCAGCATCGTCAACATCATCAGCATCATCAGCAGCAGCATCATCATCATCAACAGCATCAGCATCATCATCATCACCATCATCATTATCATCATCATCAGTATCCTCACCCTCGTCCTCATCCTCATCCTCGCCAGCCATCATAATCATCAGCATCATCATCACAATCAGCATCATCATCATCATCATCATCAGCAGCATCATCATCAGCATCAGCATCATCACAATAATATTCATTACCATCACCATCACCACCATGATCATCAGCAGCATCGTCCTCATCAGCAGCAGCAGCAGCAGCATCATCACCATCAGCATCAGCATCAGCATCAGCATCATCCTCGTCATCCGCATCATCTGCAGCATCATCATAGACGGTGTCACCACCACCACCACCACCACCATCGCCCATCAACATCAGCAGCATCAGCAGCAGCAGCGTCATTATCAACATCACGATCAGCATCACCACCATATTCATCATAATCAGCATCGTCAGCATCATCATCAGCAACATCAGCATCATCCTCATCATCACCAGCATCAGCATCAGGATCATCAGAGCCGTCGTCATAATCAGCATCATCATCATCATCATCATCATCATCATCATCCTCATCCTCATCCTCATCATCATCATCATCATCATCATCATCATCATCATCATCATCATCATCATCATCATCCGCAGCACCATCAGCATCATCAGCATCATCATTATCATCAGCATCATCAGCATCATCATCAGCAGCATCAGCATCATCATCACCACCACCATCATCGCCATCGTCATCATCATCGGCATCATCATCGTCATTACCGTCATCGTCATCATCATCATCATCACCATCAGCATCATCATCCTTCCCTGCCTCCTCCTCCTTTGCTTTCTCCTCCTCATCCATCATACCCTCCACCTCCACTCACACTACTCGTCCGCCTCCTCGCACTCCTCCCCCTCGTGCGCCTCCACCGCAGCCTCACCCTTTCCTCTTACAGGACGAAAGAAAAGACAGCTGATCTCCAAGAAGCCAGGCGATCATCCAAATGAGGTACCCCCGACCAGCCTTGTCGCCAGCACCAAGTACCATAGCCACGGGCCTGAGTGCTCGGGGGGACAGACAAAAGAAGAAGTCATAAATGTTGCGAGAGATTAATTGATTGATTGATTGATTGGACGGCTGATGGCGGCAGCCGTGGCTCTGTGACTGATGATCAAGACGACTGGTCAAGGGCGGCCGATGCAGAAACACGCCCAGGCCGAGGGGGAAGAGGTGAGAAGTGCAAAGACAACGACGACGAGACAGGAGAGAAGAGCAAGTGAGCGCGAAAGAGAGAGAAGGAAAAGGAAGGCTAAGCGACAGGCGGAAAGGAAGGATAGGCGACAGGCGGCCTGGAGAGAGAAAAACTCTTCAACCCGCCATGAGGCCCCTAAAGAGAATGCGCAATGAACGCAACGACTTGGCACATGCTGTGCCATACCCAGAACTCCGACGACCGAACTTCTCAATCTGGACGTTTTTCCTCGACTTCAGCCCATGATCCCGTCAGTGGACCAGGACCAAAACCACTGATTATGGATCCAGGACGAACATGGATCCAGGACAAAAAACCACCCACGGGGGAAGGGGCCGCGGGTTGAAAAAAAAACATATCGTCGGATGCCTGGGTAGACTGCGACGGATAGTGGGGCGCACTAGAGTGCCAAGTGTCCTCTGGTAGGGTTTATGCAGTCTTCTTAGGGACCCCTCCTCTCCCCGCCACACCTCGCCGCGCGCACCTGCCCTACTCCGTCAAGCACAGGAAACGAGGGTACCCTGGATCTGACAAGGTCGACCTACTAATCAGCTCTACTGCATGTTGCGCCAAACACCCGACCCAGCACCACGGAATCACGGGATGGTCTGCTGACCCCATGCGCAGAATGGCTTCGCCGCAGGTTGCGTCACACACCCCGCACTGCGGAATGACGAGTTGGTGCACTGCGCCACCCTGCGCCATAGGGTTGCCCAACAGGTTGCGCCAGACACGCGGACACCCTGGCACTGCGGAAGGAAGCCAGCTCGAGAATGCGGGGCAGGCCGGGGCAGACATGGGGCAACTTAGATTCAAATGACAGTGCCCAAGCAGCAGGCTCCCGCGAACGATTCCGGCCAGCCAGAACTGGGGGAGCTGTGGTCCTTACCCCCATGGGGGAACCCATCGCCTCGACGATCCCTCGAGAGGGGTGTCGAAATCGATGAGTCCCCCAGGGGGGTAAGGACCACAGCTCCCCCAGTCGTGCGCTGCTGCCTTCCACAGCAGTGGTGCCGCTCGAGCGCGGAAGAGTGCAGGGACGCTCGGGCCAGAAGCGGAAGTCCCACCGGCCCTCTGGGCGCAGGTGGTTTAGGGAGTCTTCACTTCCACCACCCTTCTTCCCTACGGGGCGCGCAGACGACCACGGCCACTGCATTTCTTTTGTTGCCGCCTGCCAACCCGCAGAAACAAAGCAGTGGTTGTGGTCATTTTCGTTGAGCTTGGCACCAGGGAAATGACCACAACCACTGCTTCTTTTTCGGCCGGCTGGAAGGCGGCGCAAACAAGAAGCAGTGGTTGTGGTCATTTTCACGTCCCGCATTTGGGGAGTTTTCTCTTCCACCCCCTTCTTCCCTTTGGGGAGGGATTTACCCCTCCCTCCTACCCCCTCTCCTAGACCTGGATGGGGCCGGTCGCGAGCGGTCAGGGCGTTCAAAACGGCCTCGGCGAGGAAGCCACAATCATGAATTTTACTAGGGTGTTGACCCCATGTTGGCATCTTGGGCGGGAGAGGTTGAAAAAAGTTCTCCTCTTCTTTGATCGATCTTCTCCAAGATGGCCCCAAGAGGCGCCCTGGAGGCCCCGGGAGGTCCCAAGATGGCCCCAAGATGGCCCCATGAGGCCCCCAAGAGGTCCACAGGAGGCCCCCAAGAGAACCCCAAGCGGCCCCAAGAGGCCCCCCCGAGGCACCCAAGACGCCCAAGAGCCCCCCAGGACCGCCAAGAAACCCCCAAGACGTTCCAAGAGGCCACCAAGAAGCGCCCAAGAGGTACCCGAAGAGGGTCCGAGAGGCATCCAAGACAACTCTGGCCCTTTTGCTTGCCTCTTCCTCCTGTTCCTCCTTCCTCCTCCTACTCCTTCTTATTATTATTCCTATTATTATCCCCCCTCCTCCTCCTCTTCGTCCTCCTTCTCCCCATTCCCTCATCCATCCATCCAGCCTCCTCCTTCTCCTCCCTCCTTCGCACGGTTCGGCCGTCCCCCTCTTTGCTCCCGCACTTCCCTGATCACATCGTTTCTGGATGGGCTGGTGGGGATTCTGTTTTAGTCAGCGGCCGCGGGCGAGCGCGCCGGCGGCGAGTCAGGTCAAAGCGGGCTACGCAAAGACTAATTAGGCAAAGGAAACGCAAGTGGGCATACTTTTTGTTGCTCGCGGGCAGACGCGTGAAGCTGTCGCCGAAAGGGGGTCCGGGGCACGGGCCAGCCTAATTAGCTACAGAGCGAGCAGGCGGGGATACTTTTTGTGATCGGCGGCTCCAAGGACGATTTCAGAGAGCGGGTCGAGCAAGCTTGGGGCGGCAAGCAAGATAATTGCCAGCGGAAGCCAAAGGCCAACGCCGGAACGCACGTGCGAGGAACAAAATGAACCTAATTAGGAAGCAGACACGAAGGCCGGCGGAAGGTCGCACAGTGGTGCCAGCTTCCACGGCACGGGCCGGCGCGAAGGCAGAGACACTGCGGGCAGCACGGGGCCCCAGAAGGTGTACCGCCAAACGCGGATAGGCGAGGCAGAGGCAGGCAGGCGCAGGAAGGGGGGGGGGGGAAAGAGAAGGGCGGGAAAAGGGGGAGAGAGGGACAGGGGGGCAAAGGGAGCCTCACTCACAGAGCACCTCATGTGCTCGAAGACAGGTCGTCACTGAACCAGGCGTCAGTGGTCTTGTCGTGAATCCCGATTGGCAACTTCCTTGCGTCCGTGGACGGGGGGGACGTCGCGTGGGACCACGGCGGCACTACCCACCGGCGTTCAGAGGCCCCGCCTGGGGGAGACCGCGGGCAGGTGTGCACCACCTGAACTCCGCAGAATGGCAGGGCGTCGTTGGCGTCCGCGAGCGACAAATCCTACCAGAGGAAGGGGCCGATGTCACTGGCATAGCCGGATGCCAGAGAACACCTGCCAAGAGGAAGCACGGCCCTGTCAAAGGATGCACCACTTGTACAGGAAGCCAGCCTCCACGGACCACCTGCCAGTGCCCCATCGGGCGCACCCTGCCGCGTGGAAGGAGTGACCACCTCGGAGCGCGCGCGAAGACGTGGCACTGTTGGGGGGGAGCCGACTGGCGTGCTCAGCACCTCAGCGTGCGTGGAAGAGGGGGGGGAGGCGCAGCCTATAGCCGCAAATCAGGGGAAACCGGAGGAAGGAGAGGCGCAGGCGGGCCAGGCGACACAGACTGCCGAGGACCCAACAGAGCGTTGCCAGGGGCGTGTCTGGGGGGAAGGTCGTCGGCGTCGTGCGCGCACCAAGCCGCGGCCACGGGTGAGCGTACTCCGTCGCAGGAGCTGGGGGGACAACCTTCCCAGCAGTGGGCCGGGCCCGCCGTGGGAAGGAGGAGCCTGCCAAAGGATGTACCACTTGTGCAGGACTGCAGCGTCATCAGTGGCTGTTATCCCGTATGGGCCTGAGTACGGACCGGCGAATGGCTGCGTTGTCCTGTGTCTGGATGGCTGTCCCGTGGTCTCCCTGCAGTGAGTGTGGCTCAGTCAGAGGACGGCTGACGGCCGGATTGTCCAGAGGGGATGCTCCGCGGTTTCCGCAGCCCCCGTCGCTTCCGCCGTGACTTCCCACACCTTTCCTCTGGCTTGTTGTCACTGTTGGAGGGGGTCGATGGCGTCCGCGAGCGACAAATCCTACCAGAGGAAGGGGCCGATGTCGCTGGCACAGCCGGATGCCGGAGAACGCCTGCCAAGAGGAAGCACGGCCCTGTCAAAGGATGCACCACTTGTACAGGAAGCCAGCCTCCACGGCCCACCTGCCAGTGCCCCATCGAGCGCACCCTGCCGCGTGGAAGGAGTGACCACCTCGGAGCGTGCGCGAAGACGTGGCACTGCTGGGGGGAAGCCGACTGGCGTGCTCAGCCCCGCAGCGTGCGTGGAGGCAGGTGGGGATACGCGAAGCGTCTGGAATTATTCTGGCTATGCTGCGCTACAAATGCTCGTAATCGACCCTGCTCACTCACGGCATGATGCAAGGCGTACTTGACTTGACACACCTGTCCTCTTTCCCCCTCAACCCCCTCTTCCTCACTCCTTCTTCCCTCGTCGTCCTCACCATCCTTTTTGCCCTCCCTCTCCCCCCTCCTCCTCGCCCAACATCCCTCATCCTCCCCCATACTCCTCCCACATGCATCATCCCCCTTTCTCGTTCCTCCATCCTTCTCCATCCTCTCTCATCCCCTCATCCTTCAGCCTCCGTCTTCAACCCTGCTTCTACCCTGTTCACTCTACCATCGAATGGTATGATTCCGAGGTTGGCGAGTGGTCCGACTACAGCGCCTGAAGTAAAAGAGCCCCCTGCAGCTTCCCCCCCTATATCCCCCTCCGCACAGAGGGGAGAAGAGAGGAGGAAAGCGTGGGGGGGAGGCACGAGGGGGCGAGGGGAGAGGAGGGGAGGGAGGGAGGGGACGAGGGCGGACGAGGGGAGGGGAGGGGCGGAGGAGGGAGGGCCGGAGGGAAGGAGGGATGGGGAGAGGAAGGACGAGAGAGGAGGAGGGAGGGGGGGAGGTGGGGAGGAGGAGGGAGGGGAGGGGAGGAGGGAGGGAGTGAGGGGAGGGAGGGAGGGAGGGGAGGGGAGGGGAGGAGGAACGAGAGCCGGGGTGGGCCACCATCCCCCCCCTTTACCAGAACTCACAGTGCCCCCCTGGCCATCGGCTCCTGCCTCGGCGCTCCGCCGGCCGCCCCGGAGCGAGGCGGGCCCCCCCCCGGGGGACGCTCTCGGCGAGGCGCGGCTGCTGGGAGGCGTCCCGAGAGCGGACGAAAGCGCGCGGAGATCTCGAGCCTCTGTTTATGTTGGCATCCTCGGGGGACCTTTT